ACAGCGACTCCGTGCCCCAATACTAACTCTTCACTCGCGGTGACCTCTGTGTGGATTGGTGGGATTCTAGTAAACCCTGTTAGTCCGCAAATGTGTTCACGATACACGCCGATAAACAGTGAATGCACAGTGATGGTATCAGGACCTTCTCCAAAGAACTGTCGTTGAGATCGTTTAATGTAAAGTTGCCACCGAGAATGGCGCGTACGTTTAAGTGTCCTTCAGATTAAAGAGTTGGAAGCTCAGCCATCATACGTGGTAGCAACAATATCCCTGCAAGAACAGAATAGGTAACACCATCCATTTACCTTGACGACAAGCCTACCAGGCTGCGCATAGAGAGACGCCCACCTGTAGCCAATTTAAGGCAAAAACATCCACAGTCACACAACACATGCACTGCAGTAGCCACTGCGCAGTGGCATACGTTACATGTAACATACTGACACCTACGAAATGCCAAATATAAATATACAACGATTTAAGGAGGCCATAAACCTTACTTTACCAAATTTAGCTTTTGAAACTTTCACTGGTGACACTTTGTAATGCCTCATAACATTCCAGCATGTATACTGATTGCTACGTCGACGGCAACGACCCGGCCCCGTCCAAATTCTGTGTCTAACAGCAGCACGTATGCACAACAAATCGCAACTGCTTTAACCCCTGACCCTCCTCTTCGAAGGTCAAAAGGTATAGCGACTCATCCGCCCAACACCTCCACTCACCCCTTCCAGACTCAACAACATGTGCCACCAGAAAGTCGATTCATGTCTTTCAATAATGCCATAAAGAATGCAGTCAACGCTGAAAAACAAAAAAGTTTTCAAATCGCCTACCCGTCGAGATCCGATGTCCTCAGAAAAGTTAAAATCTAGCCCTGTGGCCCGCAATCATGACCTTTGGCACTGTGGACCTCACTAATTTCGCACAGTGATGGCTTTTCCTACCCATGAAATGGCTATACACCCGACTAATCACGGCAGCCTAGGTCCGAGACGAGACCGTTTAGATTTGCTGCCCGCAATGTCTGCCATTTCCGTACCCTCCATAGCTTAAGCTTAAGGAGTGAATGTCCCCCTTCTTTTACAACTCTTGACCTTTCGACCCCCAGCTCGACAGCCAACTCGTTTGACGATCCCCCCCCAACGACCGACAATCGTGACCGTCACGCCAAGCACGGTTAAGCTTTGTGCCCAAACTCGTTGACCGGACGAAACCCGAGCGACCGGACGGACTGACGGACGCCCACACGACGATTCAAACGCGATTCTACAAGCTGCAGTCTGACTATGTTCAGATGAGCTAAAAAAGGGGTGTCTTTCCTCTCCTCGTCAATTTCATCTTGAATATCATAGACAAACTTATCAAATCACCAACGAGACCTAACACTCATCCTCGCGCAAATCCCCCCCCGCTAGTTAACTCTACTCGCAAACACCACTCATCTACAGGATTATTTAATTTTGAACTGTAAAAAACTAACGTACGCCGGCCGCCCCCCCCCCTCACCTTCACCCCCATCACACTACACTAGCGCGAAACACTCCAACCGTACGTCGAGAGAGCTCATCCGCTACCATATAGACCAGTTCAAACCCCCCACCACCCCACGCCCGATACCCACTAACCGTCCACTACAACGCCGGTTGGAATGAGACAGCGACCTCACCATGACGCTAGGGGTACATTGAGGGCAGTGCTCTCCAGGATTTAGGCGGCGTTCTCCCCCAGGCAGAGGAAAACACCCCGCAAAAAACCCGCGAAAGGGGGTTCAGCGAAATAGTGAGCAGTCCTGAGATAGGGCGGGGTTCTTTCAAAGGGAGGGAACGAGGCACATAACCATTGCGTACCTAAATAACACTGAGTGGGGGGGGCGGTCCTGTCACACAACTACCACGCACCGCCGCATGCCACACGCACAAAACAGCACACAGCACGACGCCCCACGCAGGCACGCACAGGCGCGACAACACACACACCACAACACACACACACACGACACACGACAACACACACACAGCACACACCACACACACACACACACAACACACAACACAGGCAGCCCACCACGCGGCGCGTAACCAGACACGCGCGCGTACCCGCACCACCGCATAGACGCGACACATCACGCACGACCGACGCACGGCTTCGGTTACGCCAGTCAGCCGAGGACGGGCAGGATCAGTCGACGTACCAACTGAGCCGAGGGAGTCGCGTGGAAGGCGATAGGGAGGCACCTGGAGAGTCGGGCCCGGCGCGCTCGAAGAGGAGGCCGGACGACGAGCACGGAGCAGCGAGGGGTACAATCTACACTCGAGGCGGCACACACACGCACCAGCAGCGCACACACACTAATGTATGCCGTCTCTCGTTGGGGTGTTCCGATAATTTTGCTCCACAGCTGTGCAGCGCAGTGCTTGGTTGTGCTTTATACCCCGCCAGACCAGCAATGCTTTGGTGTGTGCGTGTGTGTCGCATGAAAGGATTTGGACCCGATCTAAAAGTTTGGTGCAGGTTTCCGATGAATCCCGAAGTTTCTTCGGGCACATATCTTTTTAGAAAATTGCCTCTAAAAGTCACTTTACCATCGAAAAATCGCGTTTTAACGTAGCGGAATGTATTCGGGACGTACAGAAGAGGCCCCAGCTCGATTCGCGTGAGAATACGTGGCATGGTTTCGGAGGAGATACGGAAAACGACACTTCGGCTCTTTCTACTATTATATAGTAGAGATATATATATATATATATATATATGAATGCCCAATATTCTTATGCAAGTACCCGAGAGCACATTTGAGATGGTGTGACACATATCACATTTTTTACCAACAACCATTATTTATTTGCCATAAAAAACTATTGTATAATCATCCATTCATTGATAGAATTCAATTTCCTGGTTCTGCGAGTGGCATAAAATTAAGTATTGCAGAAAAATTCACACAGATACCCTCGCATAATGAACATATCTATATACTCAACTACAGCTACTACTACTACTTTAGTATCGATATGTTCGTGCTCATGTGCACACACTCACATAGACACGCCATGGTTAGACGTGAACTACTAGTACACTCATAAACAGCTTGGCCACGTTTCCTGATCTAAAGCAGTGATACGGATGACAGAAAACTAGGATTAGGGCTATTGTCTGAAAGATTAGAATAAATATATCGACGGTGCACATGACATAAGTGGAATAAATGTGTATCTTTTTTTCTTTAAAAAAGTCAGTATGCCTGTTTTGCACAACGAACATTATATCATACGCTAGAATCATTCATCATTCCCGTTGAAGGAACAGATTCTTGCAGTCACAAATACTGTAAAATGGGAAAAAATATTTCGAATTTACCAAGCATTTTTAAATACCTATGAACATGAGCCGCGTTCACACGGAGCGTTCGTCCTGGGGCGAAAACGATCCGAGACTGACCCAGATCAAAAACGACACGGAGCGATCAGTTCTAGCTGCGAGCTGCGAGTTGAAAAAACAAGTGCCGCGGAGCGACAGCGCTCACCTAACGTCTACTGCAGTGACTCTGTGGTGGAGTGGTGGGATTCTAGTAAACCCTGTTAGTCCCAAATGTGTTCACATACGCGCCGAAACAGTGGAAGGCACAGGGATGGTATCAGGAACCTTCTCAAAGGAATGTTCATTGGGATCGTTATGAAAGTTGCCACGAGATGGCGCATATGTTTAAGTGTCTTAAGATTAAAGATGAAAGCTCCCATCGTACGTAGTAGTAACAACTATTTGCAAGACAGAATAGGTAAGCACTCATCCATTTACCTACGCAAGCCTACAGGCTGAAATAGAGAGCTGCCACCTGTAACTAATTAATGCAGGCAAAAACTACAGAGTACCAGAGATGCCAACACTTTTCTGAGCAAACTGTAGTGAGGATATCTGAAATCTGTAGTACGAGGGTCACGCAGTGACCCAAGTATGTTAGGGGGGTTCGGGGCATGCCCCCGGGAAATTTTTGATTCCGAGATGCAATTTCCTGCATTCTGGGACCCAAAATGATAATAAGTTCACACTGATATTTGCTGCTAAATACATGTAGTTATTTTTAATCATGTTATATCAATGTAACACTGAAACAAAACACTTAAAACATCATAAAAATGATTTTTTTTCCGATCGTAATAAAAATCGTAGTTGTATGCAAATTGGTCGTAATGGTCAAAATGCAAACGAAATTCGTATAAAATACGGATAAATCGTAGTGGTTGGCATCTCTGCAGTACTATCACCACCACATGCACTGGCAGTGGCATAAGTTACAGGTAACACACTGACAGTACAGAATGCCATAGAAATTATACGATTTAAGGAGCATAAACCTTCTTCAACCAAATTTAGCTTTTGAAATTTCACTGTGACATTGTAGCCTCATACATCCAGGCATGTATAGATTCTACTAGCAAACCCGGCAGTCAAATTCTTTCTAACAGTAATGTTTAACCCTCCTCTTGAGGGTCAAAAGGTGATCCGACACTTACTCTTCGCATGTCAGCAGAAAGTACATTTCATGGTCCTTTCAATAAAGCCATAAAAATGCTCCGTCAGACCATGTTCTCAGAAAATGTCTAAAATCTGCCCTGTGCCCCATTGACCTTTGACCTGTGACCTCCAATTTCGGCACAGTGATGGCTTTTCCTACCATGATGCTATACACCAACTATCACGAGACTAGGTCAAGCCGTTTAGATTTGTGCCGCAATTCTTCATTTCCTCCCTATACCTTAAGTTAAGGAGGGAATGTTCCCCTTTCTTTTAAACTTCTTGACCTTTGACCTTTGCCCCCCAGCTTCGACATCCCAACTCGTTTTCGGATTACCCCTCCACGTCCCGAATATCGTGACCGTACGTCGAGCGGTTAAGATTTGTGCCCAACTGTTGACGGACGGACGGACGGCCGGACAATCATGCGATTCTACAAGCTGCACCCGACTACGTCAGATGAGCTAAAAACAATGCATCCACGTGAACAATACGAATTAAACAATCAACGCACAGCAACTCTGTGTAAACTCTGGCTCTCGACACTGGCGACGTCTACCGCCGTACTCATTCTGATCAGGGACGTGTGCCGGTGCTCGGGTCGTTTTTGTACCGAGAAAAAGTCCGTGTGAACGCTTGGCCCAGGACGCATTTGACACGGGTCGTTTCGCTCCATGTGAACGCAGCTATGGTCCCTTCATGGATGTAGGATTAGGATCATGATAATTAACTACACTACCTCTAATCCTATATCCATGGTCGTTACTTCCTTATTGTTGTATTACTTTATCTTTAGTTAAAGGTTTCCTGCATGTAAAATAGCACACACTGCCATTACTGTGGCACACACTGTAACACAGAGAATCCACAATACTGGCAAGCAGCTAAGCTATTTTTTGTTTTTCAACATCTGGTTTACGAAACCCATATGACTAGGAGAAAAAACAACAATACCAGACCTGCAATACCCACCAAAATAATTTAGTGTTATAACTTTCTATCCGAGACCGATTCCAACTATGTACAATGAAGATACAAATGTGTACGTCCAGCAACTTGCTAACAACATAATACATTATCACTCTTCCGTTCTCATCGGGTGCCTAGACACGAGGTCATGTAGGCAGAGGCTATCCACTCTCCACACTCACATAAGAGTGAGATGTTACCAGCAGAACCATGGACTGTCAAGCTGAGTAAGATCTTATAATAGCAGATTCAGTAATTGCTGTTTCACCTGCATATCAAACAGCCCATCTAATTAATTATAAATATATTGATTGTTGAACCATTGGAGTCACCTACTTAATGTTTACTTTCATGAGTAGGGGAATTAAGTTAACAAAAATTGCCATCATAAGGAATATTACAGGTGTACTCTTTGATAGGCAATACAGTAGTTTCTACCCACAAAAATATTAAGCTTGTGAAATTGCATTCCACGTCAAGTTGATTCTGTCATGGTGGCACCTACTTTTGCTACCAAAACCAGTAAATGATATACAATATAGCAGCACATATCACACAATTACACTCAAATGCTATAAAAAGCAGAAATCTCCAAGTGCTGCCACCTAGTGCAATGACTAGAGCATGCAAACTCTGTTGGCAATAGACTACATGCCTAGCTACTGACTTGTTCTGCAAGCTCTCACCGCCCCCATTCTGGTAACCTGATATTTTAAGGAACGGTTGTGCATTCTTGTAGCCTCCTAGCAACTTTATTGCCACAGTCCAGTCTTAGAGCAGACTGCATAGCAGGGACATAGCAACATGGCCGATGTAACGCAAGACCTACTGACCTATGGCTGTCCGAGGTCTGCAGCTTTAGCAACAATCACTCAGCCAGCATTCACGATATAATCTGCAAGACAGTAGAATAAATGGTCACAATCATCCGATACTAAAACGTCTCAACTACTAAATGCTTAACAGAATGACCATTGTATGCTAACGAAGGCTAACGAATTCCTCGTCACTCGCATTTTTAATTTGTCACCAAATATAAAGAAAGAAATTGCCGACAATAGAACTTTGCAATATGTATGAGTACACGAACCCCGTATGCAACCTGATGTAATTCTTTTCGTCAATCTACACTCTGCTCATTCACGCAAAACTCATACCTCACAAATTCACGGGTTTCCCTCACCGACGCCCCATGCCCCCCCCCCTTGCTGCACCGTGTACAGGTGGCGCTCACCTCTGTGACGAGCCCAGCAGCGATCGTGTGACCGGAGTAGCGCAGCATGAATCGGCCCAGGTCGCGGTTGTCCTTGTACAGCTCCATGCAGATCGGCCGCTCGATGGCCAGCTCTATGAGGGCGTTGCTCTGCTTCGTCAGGCACCTGCAGGCAGAACGCAAACGCGCCTATCATTTACTGAAAGGCACAACATGGGTGGGTGCGGGGGGGGGGGGGGTCAAACCCATATACGAGGTTAACTCACAGGAAACCCCCTGAAAAACGGACCTTCATAGACAGTTGCCAATTACACAAAAACGGTTTCACATTGCTTGGTGCCATGGAAATTGTCAAATTTCAGGGGCACAGTGGCAAGTTAGGAGGGCAACCACGGCACTTGCCATTAGTGCTGTGGTGAAATTCACTATTATAGGTGATATAGCAAACAAAGCTATCACCAAACTGCACGTCTAAAAATGAAAACAAAAACATTAGATAGTAAAACTTTCAAATTAGGAGCAGCTTACTGCATGGCAGCAGCAATGTGAATGGATCAACGACAATCTGACACTGACCTAGGTCGCTTCTTGATCACCTCTCCATTGCTCTTGTGCAGCTGACTGATAAGTTTACGTATCACGGCTGTTTCATTCAGCATCTGGTAATGGAACACAACCTGCAAGAGGCAATTGTTGTACGTGAGCTATCTCATGCAGTGGAAGCTCCTATATATCGCACAGTGTCAGCCACTAGATATCTCATTCAGTGACACTGGCTTAATGGTATGTATCCTTAACCAATTTCTAACAGCCATTTCGATGACCTTGACTCAATCATATTCACTCTACCGTAGTTACAAAACGTGGACCAGATAAGATAGTAGATTGATGTAAGCCAGCGTAAAGTGGGCGTAGGTAAACTCACAGGAAAGCCTCGGGTGATGGGCATGTCTATGTTGAAGACGACGATGCGAGCCTGAATCACCGACGCGACGCGTATCGGCTGTGCGGCGTAGCACAACACGTGCCCGATCGCCGCGCTCGTCATCTCTATGTTAAACAGCGTCACTATGACGTGGTCCCCGGCAAACGCGCACGTCACCAAGTCATCCTGGAGCTGTATGGCTGACAAACACAACCGCACTGTGTTAGACCTCCTACATCGTACTGACGACGGTACTAACCGCTACGTAAACTCGAGGAAGCCACTACATCACGCTGAAGATATTCCCGGCCATTACATCGCGTTTACGGTAGATCCGTAATCAGATTAACTATCCTTTCAAATCACATCATCGCCCTCACTCGTGGCGAAACCTTTTTTCTACAGAGTGACTTAGTAACGGGGCAGCGGGAACTTGCCATAAAAGGAACACACTTCGAACGTTTCCTCGCGGAGAACGCGCTCACCTTTGACAAGAGCCATATCGCCGGTGGGCATGACGAGAACCTTCTCGCCCGTCTGCACGCTGCCTGCCTCTATCCTACCCGACACGCAGAAGCCACTACCCATGCCCTTGTACACGTCCGACACAACGAGTCTGAACGGCTTGTCGACCGGTCGCTGAGGGGCGGCAAACCTGTCTGGAAAGTCAAAACAAAACGCGTGACGATCGCAACGTCACGCCAGCACAGTGACATTACAACACCTACTAGGCTACTATAGTCGATGCGACATCACAATCGGGCGCAGGCACAGACCGTACTAACGCGGGGTGGAAAAAAAATTTGCGTGGAAACGTGCGATATTTGCAAACGCCCTGCCGCTCCGCTTATACGCGAAACACCGCGAGAGGCGTCGTGAACCCGAGGCCTACCTATGACCTGCAGCATCGACGGCCCGCCGTACCAGCTGCACAGCAGCGGGTCTGTCGCAGCGGCGACGAGGTTTTCTCCCGAGAGCCCGCTGCACGGCACGAAGCTCACGTCCTTCTCCTTGAAGCCCGCCTGCTTGAGAAACTGCATCAGCTTGCGCGTGATCTCGTCGAAGCGCTCCTGCGACCAGCCGACCGTGTCCATCTTGTTCACGGCGACTCCCAGCTGCGAAACGCCTGCGTCGCGTCAACACGAGTTATATACGTACGTCGGCAACAGATTAAAGATGAAAACATTTCGCTCGCTGCAAGACACATCTGTGTGACATGACTACAATAAATCTTTATGTTAAAACATCCAAAACGTTCGTACGCACCTAGCGACCTGACCAGCAATGCATGCTCCCTTGTCTGCCCTCCTGATTCGAACCCAGTCTCAAACTCTCCGCGCGTTGCACAAACTACCAAAACGGCGACGTCCGCACTAGCAGCCCCTGTAACCGCGAGCACACATCTCAGTTCATGTAGTTAGACGTGGCACTTGCCAGTAGCGAAACGACAATAACTTAACTCATAATGACGACTTTCATAAGAAAACCATTCCGATGACGAATTATGTGAAAATATTACACAAATTTGAAATCAGTGGAAATGGATGAAAACGAGTAAAGCTTTGAAATGGATGCATAACCGGTGAACACTACCACCACCCAGACAACATGCAAAGTTAGTATTTAGGGAAACTGTGGGCAAATCGATGTACCATCTAAGAAAGTGAGTTTAACTGTAAAAAGTCAAGTTAACTGAGTAAATTCATAGAAGGCTGAATGACTCACCGAGTAAAACCACTATGATGCTTTTTATAAAAAAAACATCTGTTATAATGCTACAAGATGATACCCCTGTTAGCAATAGACCTACCTGTGATCATGTTGGGAATGAAGTCTTTATGGCCTGGAGCATCCAGCAGTGTCACAGACTTTGTATCAGTTTCAAATTGTGTCTGAGCGACATCCATAGTTACTCCTCTTTGCCTGCAGCAGAGATTGATGTAAAACTAATGTCCATAGTTACTTTTTACCATGGTATCAACTAGAGGGATTAGGGAAAAAACAAATGTAGTCTGTAATGGGGAAAAGTTGTAACCGAGCAGCAACCTTCCTTGTAATCTAGCAGCAACTATAGCTCTGCCTCATTATTAGCAAGTATTTCACGATGACATGTTCGTAGATAGAAGAAAGGCTACGTCGATGCAGCTCAAGTACCTCTCCTCTGGGGTTTCGTCCAACACCCACGCGAAGGCAAACGAAGATTTTCCCTGCTTGCGAGACTCTTGCTCATACTTGTGCATTGTTCGCTGGTTCACCTGATATGGGAAGCGAGTGTACGATTAGCGTATTACAATAGTTAGAGTTACACTAGTGTATACCTATAACATGCACATACACATATAAGATCACACTCTTTGTTCGCAGCAACACATTTTTAGCGGACTCAGCAATGTGTGACTATATCGAACACTACTGATCTCTATTTGTCTAGTTTTGCAGAAACCTAACAATAGGCGACAGCAGAATAACCAGCAGAATCGCACTATGCACTTTCTGACATATGTTGTCTTACCTGACCAAGCTTGTAAAGAACATGGCCCATGAGTGTGGATTTTCCGGCGTCTACGTGCCCTATGACAACCAGGTTCAGCATCTGTTTTTTCGTTGCTTTCCGCTTCTCATACTCCATTTCCATGTCCAGCTTGTCTAAACCTTTAGCCCTACACCCACCGAACACAAGTTCGCCATTTAGTATTGACAAATAGCGCGAATGAAGTGGGAATGATCCTGCCTAGTTAAACAAGAGCTGCAGAGCGTCTGGGCTCATCTGAGGTCTGTTGCTACGGTCATAAACGTAACATTTAAGTCGTGCGTAGTGACCTTTGTTAGGCGCAGATATGCAGATACGCAGTTGCGTACACATCATTTCAGCAACCTTCTGCATTCTGCATACCTCCCAAATCCCATTGGTTGATACAAATCGCGTGCCTGAAACTCCCGTTTTATGGTGCATTGTGACCATAACCATAACCCTATTAAAAATAAATAAATGAATTTGTTGTAAAAATTATTGTAAATAAATAATGTAAATATTTGCGTTTTGGCAATAATTGGAAAAAAATAGTTAAATGGATAAAGATAGAAAAATACAGAAAACAGGTAAATAATAAAAAATCAGATGGGATTCGATCCAACGACCTTTGAGCCGTGACGCCTGTGCTGTACGCGTTCGGCTATCCAGGCTTATTGTGTTTCTAGATTATGGATGTGCCATGAATATGACAACACTGTGACGTCATTGAGGAAGTTCAGGAATCCATGTTTAACCCTCCTCTTGAGGGTGAAAAGGTTATCAGACACTTACTCATCACATGTCAGTGGAAAGCACATTTCATGGTCCTTTCAATAAAGTGATAAAAATGGTAGGTCAGCGCTATAACAAAAAAGTTTTTCAATCTGTTCATTAGGCCATGTCCTCAGAAAATGTCTGATATCTGACCTTTCCCCCACTGCCCTTTGACCTGTGACCTCCAATTTCGCACTGGTGATGGGTTTCCTGCCCATCACACTATACATCGAATATTAAGAGCATAGGTCGAGCCGTTAAGATTTGTGCCGCAATTCCGTATTTCCTCCTATACCTTAAGAGTAACTATTGCGAGAGTTTTCCAGTGTTTTCACCACTTTCATGACACCTACCGTTATTGCTTGAGTAACAGCAATTGTCTAGAGTAACAATAAAATGTCTTAGAACCTTCGTATTCACCAAAAAAGTGCCAGTTTCAAACTACTAGTTTGGTAAACAATCGTTTGTTGTCATCTTGAAATTAGCCGGAAGTATGGATTAGCTAGTGGCGCCACCGCTTATCTGCCATAGACAAAGTACAGGCTCTCTCAAATCATGCACTTGTTTTCAATTAATCACCGACACAAATACAAGTTTACCAATTCTGCCATTAGGCATTATCGCGACACGATAAAATGCATTGCTGTTACGATGAGTTCATATCCAATTTTCTATGCTATAACTGCATAAAATATTAGTATTTTTAATGTTGGTGTAATCAGTGATATTTCCCCTGTCAGGTGAGACTATATTCAACTATATTTAGTTTTTCTAAGCAAAAATCTCGCAATACACACTTTAAGGGGGAAATATTCCCCCTCCGTTTACACATCTTGACCTTTGACCCTCGTTTGACCTCCACATTTGTCATCCTGAGTTCCCTTCACGCCCCCCCCCCACGTCCCGAATATCGTGACCGTACGTCGAGCGGTTAAGATTTGTGCCCAACTGTTGACGGACGGATGGATGATCATGCGATTCTACAAGCTGCATCTGACTACGTCAGATGAGCTAAAAATAGAGACATGCTTACGATCAGGGGGTAATATATTTTGAAAGAGCAAGTAAGACTTTCTAAGAAGTGTCGTCAAGCATTCATCGACATTTACGATTTTCTCGCCATCATGACCGTCGTGAATTCCCGTACTTTGAAGCAGACTTGGGCAGACTCGGAGTGGAAGCAGGCGCGGGCGAGGAGGCATCTGTAGCCTGCTCCAAGGTTCTCGTCTTCCTCGGTGGCACCTCCAGCGTCTTCTCGGGAGACTTCTCCGGCGTCCTGTCAGGCGTGCGTTCTCTCGACATCGGCCGCGATCCAGATCCAGATCCAGACCCAGACCGAGTTTCCTTCTGCATGCAAAACGCGGTTGTCAACGAGTGTTGCGCACTTAAACGTATCTTTCCAGCTGCCAGACGGATGGCTGCTGATAACTTTTATATTCTAGGTGATGTGCTCTAGACGTTGCAATGCACTTGGCAGTGCTCGAAATAAGAAAAAAAATGTGGTTGTCCTGCGGACAACCCAGGCATCAAATCGGGTTGTCCGCAACAATTTCTGGTTGTCCCAAAAAAATATCCCCAAATCTCCTATTTTCAATCACATAATAAATTAATAATATGGTCAGAAAACACCCAAAAACAGTGGTGTAGCCAGGATTTTGTAACAAGGGGGGGGGGCAAAAACAGCAAACTGCGCAAAATAGTGGATGACTTAATACTTTAATGGCTCCTCCGTCTCCCTCTCCACATCCTACGGCTCCTCTACCTTCTCTGCAATCTTTGTTTTGGGTGCCATGCGAAAAGGCGACATTTTTGTTCATTGTTCTCTGCTCCCAAGATATGTAATTGTTCAGTGGCGGATCTAGGATTCCAGGGAGGGGGTGAAAAACAAGCGGGGGGTATGGGGGTCCTCCCCCAGAAAATTTTGAAAATGTAGATCGCAGGAGATGGTATTTGCGGCACTTTTGAGTACATATACAGCCTTCATTCTGACTACGACAATTCTCTTTTTTTTAAACTTTCGGATCAACATGAATCCCCACTGTTGTTTGTTTTGCATGGGCAAAGCCATCGGAAAATTCAAAATAATAATGGAATAAAAATACCAAAATGTAAGGGTGAACTTGCTGGTTTGCTGGTTCCAAATCGAGTTGAATTCACCTCTCATAAATCAGAAAACCTGACATATACCAGTGTTGGAAATAGCAGCTGGTATGCGTTGCTTTCCCACACCATAGATTAATGGCGGGCCGCCAGGCTATAAGTGCTCTTGGAGAACCCCTGAGAAAAACATAAATAAAGTGCGTTTTTCGTCACATTTTTCTTGGTTGTCCACCGGACAATGTCTCAGACTGGTTAGGTTGTCCGGCGCAAATTCTGGTTGTCTCGGACAACCGGACAACGCTTATTTCGAGCACTGCTTGGCATTATATTTATGCACTTCTTGGGAAAAATTTGTATGAAAGGAGTTAAAAAATATTGTTTTGTAACATTGGTCACGTGGCGCAGTTTCATTTGTTCAGTGTTTGTTTTACATATGCTTACCCATCTCTCAACTCATACGATAATATACATGGAAATAATTACAAGAGTAACAGCGTATGTTTTGATGCCAATGCTCCTACCTTGGGCATCTCAAACCCCTCTGTCCTTTGACCACTGAAGTTGATCATCGCTACAGAGTTAGTGATGCGAGCAGTCGCGTCACCAGGTGGCACCACAACCACAGGCTTCGGAAGCAGACGATCACTGGGCGCTTTCTGGACGACAGGCATTTTTCGTTGAGATCCTACGACACGAAATAAATGTAAAACGTAACCATATCAAAGTACTCTGCTAGTGTAGCTCTTACAGGTTCTGAAACTGTGGCCATACATAAACAGTCATCATCGTACCGTGAACAAACAAGGATTGTAATGAAATACGCATTAATTTATTTAGAAAGTAACAAAACTCAACATGACAAAAAACAAATAATTAAAGTCAAGCTAAAAAACTACTTTTTCACAGTTATCATCCTACTATTTGACCTGCATACAACATACTTTGCCCATAGCCTTCTCGAAAAGCCTCTCTCTGTCTACTGAGCACTATGTCATCTGGTGAAGGTGTGCCAAAATCAAATGGTACCACAATCCTAGTTTGTTTCTGTTCAGAGTCTGAATCAGTAACTGATGCCTTTATGTCAGAGCAGGCCTCTCTACCAGCTACTGATTCTGGAGTATCTGAGTCACCCAGAGGTGCAGTTGTATTTACATAAGTAGTTACTGCTGAATCAAGAGAACTATCACATGACGCTGTGTCTAAATCAGCTTCTGATTCCACGACTTCAGACCCACTATCTGATGGCCCTGCATCATTGCCAGAATGGCTACGAGATGGCACTGCATCCCTGCCAGGATGACCATCAGATGGCTCTGCATCCTTGCCAGAATGGCTACCAGATGGCACGGCATCCATGCCAGGATGGCTATCAGATGGATTCGCCTCCAGATCTGCCTTTTCAGATTCCTGCCCATAAGAGTTACTTCTCAGAGACAGGACATCTGCACCTTCCTTCGTGCCAGCCTGGTAAAGAGCTCGCAGAACCCAGTACAGATTTGGTTGGCTGCGCACTTCAGACGAGGTCAACCCATCTCTCCGCAGCAAAAAGTCGCTCGGTTCAAAAATATTTACACGGTACGGAGCAGACGGTCTGCAGCACAGAGCATGCGCAAATCCGGATGGCTTTTTGGACAAGGCACTGACGTTTGCACCGGATGTTGATGACTGAGGTTGCCGAAACGGAAAACCATCGGTCAATGAAAGGTCGAAGTTCACTTCCTGGTGTGCCGACGGGCGAGGTGCGCTTGTGCGAAGATCCTCGCGATCTATGGATGCAGGTGACTTATTGTCACTAGCCCAACCACACTGAGGTAGAGACGTTGCATCATGACCAGGCAAGAGTACAACGCCATGTGGCACAGACGGATGAGACGACAATGAAAACTGGGCGCATGGTGGGTTGGTAGGCTTACAATCTGGTGATGACGCCAGTGATGACAATGAAAACTGGGACGGCGGTGGGTTGGTAGTCTTACAATCTATTGAGGATACCAGCGATAACAATGAAAACTGTGAGGACGGAGAGTTGGTAGTCTTACAATCTGGTGATGATGCCAGAGATGACAATGAAAACTGGGAGGGCGGATGGTTGGTAGTCTTACAATCTGGTGATGATGCCAGAGATGACAATGAAAACTGGGAGGGCGGAGGGTTGGTAGTCTTAAAATCTGGTGATGATGCCAGTGATGACAATGAAAATTGGGAGGGCGGAGGGTTGGTAGCCTTACAATCTGGTGATGATGCCAGAGATGACAATGAAAACTGTGACGGCAGTGGATTGGCAGGCGTGCAATCCGGTGATGATGCCAATGATGACAATGAAAATTGGGAGGGCGGAGGGTTGGTAGTCTTACAATCTGGTGATGATGCCAGAGATGACAATAAAAACTGAGTGAGCGGTGAGTTGGTAGTAACAGTTCTTGGTATGTTGACGAATGTGGTAGTAGTTTCAGTGGAATGTTGGGTGAATGGTAGTGTACTAACTGACGTGTGTGGCCGATGTGAGGTGACAGATGGATCCCTGTGACAAGCAGCGGCGTCAGCAACGCACTTGGATTGGGCGTGTGAGGTCTGTGGTAGTGCAGCTACACTTTCCTCTGCCCTCTGAGCGCCAGCAGCTGCTACATCTGACAATACAGAGGATCCGGTCAGGTGCAAGTCGTGCCTGGCTAAATCAGCTAGAGATACGATCCGTGCGCCGGAGGGAGCACCCTTGTCTAGTGCAGCAAGGACGGCCAGCGACGCTGGTAATCTCTCCTGCCTCATCGCCTCTCCGTGCTCTGCAATCCTAGATGCTTGCACGCGAGTACGACGTTGCGTTGACGCTACTATCGATTGCGGTGCGCTGCTCCCTGAATGGAAAGGCATCTCAGTTTCTTTCAAGTTAGCGAGACTGCACACTGATGCTTGATCGCTCTCTGCTAACCCGTGAGCAGCGGCCATTGCGGCCAGAGAAGGTGCTTCCGTGCGATTACCATTGTCTGCACCAACTGCCAACTCAAACAGAGACACGGGCTGTTTGTCCAAGAGAGTCGTCAAAGACGCCAAAGACTCACTGTCTGCAACAACCCTAGTGGTGCTTGGTGACGCCACTAGCAGGCCTGTGGATTTTGGCTCGGCTAGCAATCGTTCTTTGGTTCGCATGCAACTCTTCTCAAATCCCGGCGGTATCCTGACTGATCTCGTGAGAGGAGGTGCACTGCCAGCTTCCTCCTCACCGTTTGACAAGTATGAGAATAGCAAAGTTTTGGGTGCACCACCACCACAACCACAAGATTTGCCTAGCACAACCGATTGCTGCTCGTCTGTTTGAGGGTTTAGCCAGTCGCTACCAGCTTTGCTTCCCTCATGCGCTGAAGGTGTTTTGTCAACGGATATTGTCCTAGTGCATGGCGACTTCTGGCAATGCAGTTCTGCACCAGCACTTATCGGTTTTGTTGCCATTTCATTTACACTAACGATCTCCGAGCTAATAATATCACTATTCAAGTCTTACCTTACCATTGCCAATCATATCACAGATTTCATAACAATCATTGTCGATCCATTGGTGTGTGTGAATAGCAGCAGGATGGTCAGATCGTTGAACAATGAAAAAAAAATAAGGCAACAGTTAGAAAAGGGTTTTGGTTGCAGTTATGCAGTTTTTTTTACCTTCTTTTAGTGCCAGTAGACTTATATTATAACACTTATCATATATCAGTGACATGAATGAATTAAATCTCAAGAACAGTGAACTGTGAAGCCCTTACATAAATGTATACAATTGTATACTGATGACAATATAATAGGCGGTGATTAATAATAACTACCTCTTTCTTGTCTTCTGTCTTGCCGTTGTGGGAGAGCAGTTGCAACTAGAATAATAATACAAAAATGCTCTACTAATTACACGTGCACATCATACTGGTTGTCATCATCCAAATCTGTAAGCTGATACGTACACTAATAAAATAATAAAAACAAGGCTTTTTCTTTTTCATTAAATTTAATTCCTAGCCAAGGTTCTTAACTTTCTATTGAATTTGTCTGAAAGACATTAACAAAACGTTCATAATTAAAAATAATGACTGATATCAGAGCAACATTCATTATTAACAATTAGAGTTCCACCAAGAGAATGCACCTAACACAAGGATGCACCACTACCGGGTACCGGGTAACACAAAAACCAGCGAAGTGTCATGTCTTGATTCTTAGTCTACGGTTTCACTGAGCACCATTTAACGCCTACATGGATTATTCACAATGAAGACAGCGAGTGAAAAGATTGAGAGGATTCAAGTACCATTTGAGGTGGAGCTACTTTGAAGCAGAGTGTTGAGAGCCTGGTCGAGGTTGAATTGATGAGAGATGATTGCATTGATCAGCACGTGTTCTGGCTGGCTGTCACCCAGGATATTGTGCATTTCCTCCAGACAGGACAGAAGCTTAGCTGAGGAAACAATCAAGCAAGGCACAACATCTCATCATCTTTCTTGCGACGAGTGGAGGCTTAGAGTCGAAACAAGTGTTCACATTGTTACTGCTGTAGATATAATAATACAAAATTTAGATATCAAGGCCGTGTGTGTTACCTTACCCTGATCTGTCTCGCTGAGCTGAGATCTGACCTGGCTTAAGCTCTTTTCTTCTGGCTCCTTGATATCCTCTTCCTCTTCGTCCTCCTCCTTAATACCTCCCTCCTCTGCCATGAAAGCAGCCAACTGCTGTGACTTATCGCCTCTTGGATATAGGAACTGAGCTGCTGTATAAAGTGGCAAGAAATCAGCTTGTCTTGTGTATGCACACACATGCAAGCCAACAAATAGTAAGATAAAGGTTCCACATGATTAACACCAGTTTACATAGATTAATTCTAAAAGAGGTATTTACATAAATAATATAACGACTTCAAACTCCGATCAACACTACTGTACATCAGAAACAAGTGCCGCAGAGCGACAGCGCTCAACTGACGTGTACTGTAGCCGGGTATTCTACTGGGCAACCAGATCAAGTGCGCCCTCCCGTCACCGCGTTCGCGATCAGAGCATATATCTAGGATACTGCTAATACAGATCTACAATCTCAAAAGGCTTTGCTATACCGGTAGTACAGTAAGAAAGATACACCTGTGTAACTTTAATGACTTCACTATATTAACATGTTATCATGGATATGCGTCGAGTGCGAGCGTAGTGATGGTGGTGGGAGGAGGGGGAGGGTGGGGGGCCGGGTGGAGGGTTGCTCTAATAGCAAAAGCAGTTCAGTCCTTTGTTAACAGTCAACAAATCTGTGTTTACCCCTCCTCTAGAAGGTCGAAAAGTTATCAGACACTTACTCTTCGCACGTCAGTAGAAAGCACATTTCATAGTACTTTCAATAAAGTGATAAAAATGGTAGGTCAGCGCTGAAACAAAAAAGTTTTGCACTCGGTTCGTTAGGCCATGTCCTCAGAAAATGTCTGATATCTGACCTTTCCCCACTGCCCTTTGACCTGTGACCTCCAATTTCGCGCTGGTGAATGGTTTCCTCCTCATCACACTATACATCAAATATTAAGAGCGTAGGTCTAGCCGTTGAGATTTGTGCCGCAATTCCGTATGTCCTCCTATACCTTAAGTTAAGGGGCAAATATTCCCCCTCCATTGACACACCTTGACCTTTGACCCCCAAAATTCGACATCATGAGTCCTTTTCGCCAACTAACCCCGACGTCCCGAATATCAAGACCGTACGTTGAGCGGTTAAGATTTGTGCCCAACTGTTGATGGACGCACGGACGGACAATCATGCGATTCTACAAGCTGCATCCGACTTCGTCAGCTGAGCTAAAAACTGTGATGTTGAAGCTAGAAAAGCCCAGCCTGCATAATTAATTAACCTAACTAGCTATATTAAACCTATAGCCATGTACTTACCTGTGCTGGGTGAAACACAGTAGTCATCTTCTACAGAATGCCCATAGACATCATAGTAACCCTCATAATCTGTAGATTAAAGTGAATATGGTAATAAAGGCTTATGATCTTTACTTAATCAAAGCAGCTTATCTACAAAGCAATTTTCTTAGGTTATTTAAAAAATATTTCCAAATAAGTTTAGTTAGGAATGACACTAACCGACCAACAACAGTATGCCAATAAATTTATGTGCTTTAAAAATCAGGGGCCGTTGTCAGAAACAAAATTAGTCTTAACATTAACTTCCACTCGTAAACCGTTGACATAAACATCGCAAAGAACTTTTACGAGAATGAAAAATATTCGAAAATATCCTCTTAAAGGCTCACAATGCGCATCCAAACGCTAATTTCTCCAGTACTAGACTAGCAAATACTTCGTGTCATGCATAATCACACTACCTTATGACAAAATAAACTCTAGTTGCTCTCATTTCACTGCGCGTTTGCTTAAAACCAACAAGAAAGAGGTGAGAAAACTGGCATTCTGGCGCAAACGCCGACTGTTTGCCAAACAATATAGTCTCGAAGTGGTGACGTGACGTCACATGTTTTTATCTTTGCGGCGCCCGTACCGCTGTACCGCAGCACCGCTGCACGGTTGCTTGGGGATTGGGGAAACTGTCAACAACATCGGAGAATTTCAACAACATTGGAGGTATTTTCAAAATACCTTTTATAAGACAACGTGCAGTGAAATGGGAGGAACTAGAGTTTATTTTGTCATAAGGTAGTGTGATTATGCATGCCACGAAGTATTTGCTAGTTTAGTACTGGAGTAATTAGCGTTTTGATGCGCATTGTGAGCCTTTAACATTACGAGAGCCCAGACCATCTCGTAACTTTAATATCAAGATGAAAACAACACATTTACAGTTACACTACGAATTACAATTATAGTGATATTAATATTATATTTTATAATAATGAATAAAATGTGTCTTTCTTTAAAAACACGTCAAAATCATTAATTATCTACCAATCATAAAACAAAACAAAACATTTACAAATGGCGTATGGCATTTGTTCTAGTTTTAATTGCCACGACTCTCGTGTCTCGTGTTACAGTGTGAGAATTTGTCTTGTTGTGCAGAATAAATGAATAAATTAATCATGAAATTCATGACCACGTCGTTTTTCATCAAATATTATTTATATGTGGTTAGCCATCATAATATGCATAAATTACTGTGATGTACAATAAATGTTTATGAATTTGAATTTTGTAATCGATTCTCATCCAATCAGCAGCCTTGTGATGAAGTTCCTGTTATCGTAAGTTTTCTAATAGCTGCGATGTGTTTCTGTCAACGCTCCTCTCATAACATTAACATTAGTCGTAAGTGTTATCTTAGCATTAACATTAGCATTAACTTTACGATGTTTCTGACAACAGCTCCCAGGGTTTAAAAATTACCTTATTTACAGAGTGGTCAAATGGACTACTAGATAGTTTGAGCTCAGTGGTATAGTAGCCAGTAGGTAATTCTGGTAGTTCAGTATTTTTTCTATTTTTGTTATTTTATTTCTTCAAACCATTAAATGACTTGTAAACAAAAATTAGAAATTTATTAGATAATTTTTATTGTTACAATTTGCCTCTGAAACAAGCTCATTCATAAATATTTGGTAACAGAGAAAGATTTGTTAACAATTTAACAATTTATTGCTATATATGCTACATATTGGGTACAAGGAATTAGGAAGTGAATTTTATGGAATTTTCCATTAATTAGCTTTTGTGATATATTGCACTCAAGAACGAGGAAACAGATTTAAGTTTCAGTTTAAGTTTAATGAGTTCAGCCACTTCAAAAATAAAGTTAAAACAAAGTGCAACAAGTGAGAATGAAATATTTAGGTCTGAACTCTGCTCAACATTGAAGTATAACGTTAAGCTATTTAGTTGTTTAGTAAATCCTGTTTATTAAAGGTAATTTATAATGTGTGGGTCACAGACACTTGGAACGTCTTAATAAAAAAAAGTAATGGTAAATAAACACGAAATGTACCAAAGTCTTAATGTTTCTCTACTATATTTCGCCTATAAGCACCTGTAAATGCCGGTCAAATGCTCACCTGCAACACACAAGTACACGGCACGCCCGCCCTGTGCTGCGTGCACAAACAACATGAATAAGAGAGCAGGTAGGAAAGCGGGATTGAAAAATTCGTTCGACGCTCGCTTCATTTCACACGATCACAGAACGAAAACACATCCAACAGCTCCCATCTTGGTATCTATGTGTACATAAATGTTCACTTGTTCGAATTATAAATCTGGCCTTTGTTCTTACCTACTCCCACCAGGGATATCTCGTGAAATCCTGCAGGAAATGTTCTCTCCGTGAAAATGTAAAGAGGACGAGATGTCTGTTTATACACGAGTAATAGGGTGCATTGCATGCCGGGATGAGCTGCTGCCGGCCTCCGAGCTCCGTTTCGAGGCCCGCCAAGCCAAGCACAATGCGCGCGGGCATGACGTCACGCACACACGACTACAGCGATCGATCGAAAGTAGCGCCGTTAGGAATTTTCGGATGATACGACCTCTTTACATTTTCACAGAGAGAACATTTCCTGCAGGATTTGACGAGATATCTCTGGCGGGAGTAGGTAAGAACAAAGGCCAGAGTTATAATTCGAACAAGTGAACATTTATGTACACATAGATAACAAGATGGGAGCTTTTGGATGTGTTTTTTTGTTCTGTGATCGTGTGAAATGAAGCGAGCGTCAAACGAATTTTTCAATCCAGCTTTCCTACCTGCTCTCTTATTCATGTTGTTTGTGCACGCAGCACAGGGCGGGCGTGTGGTGTACTTGTGTGTTGCAGATGAGCATTTGACCGGCATTTACAGGTGATTATAGGCGAAATAGAGTAGAGAAACATTAAGACTTTGGGACGAGTGACGTGGTCGTTGCGATCGTTGTTTTCTTTGACGTTCTCATAGATAAAAATGTCTCACAAGGCTATGTGATCCGCAGCAGCACAAAGTCGTGACACATAACTAGCCGTTCGTCTGCGGTCCGTACACCTGTTGGCACTACCGGTGCAGAGGGCCGTCCCTTGGCGATTCCTGGCGGCAGCTCTGGACAGCTTCTGGAGTAGAGGTGTCAACGATGGCCCCAGTTACCACCGGCGCAGGGTGTGCACCTTGCTCGAGCATGCTGTTGTATATGCCCAGGCCCGCCCCTTGAACAGACACATCTGTGCACAGGGAGATGAACCAGGCTCTCCACATTGTTGCATGCCCGCTGACCTTTCGGGTCCGTTCCTGGGCGCGTCGAGTAGGAACTTCATATTCAGCGCCGAAGCATTTCCGTCTCAAAGCACCTGCTCTAATCGCGGCGGAGGTTGATTTCTGGGTTGATACGGGTGTTGGCATGCATTGGCACCGCGCGCCGCAGTCTCCTCACTGCACTCTTGTCCACACTTCCCCGCTTCTTTCTGGGGACACAACGAGAAGAACACCATTTCCTCAAGGGTTCTGTCCGTTTGGGGTCACCCCAAGCAACTCGACATTGACTTCTGAGTCAGCAATACCCTCTCACCAGTGCATTGGGTAAGAGGTTGTCCTTAGATGATCTCATCACATCGGAGATGCGAAACAACATTGAGTGCAGTGGCGTACTACTTTTGCAAGTATGCCGTTGTACTGGCAGAGGAGCAGACCTGGCCTCGGAGGCTGGCCAAAAAATGGTCACTATTACACTCCGTCCACCAAGAGAAGTTGGGTCATCCTGCAATCAGTGTTTATATGGCGATGGCAACCGAGGTGCTCTCGTCCGCTTGACAGCCAGTCCTTGATGGCACGATCTAGAAGATCCCGCCTCTGCCGATAGGGTAACGACGTCCACTCCGAAGGCCGCAGATCGCGCATGATGGTCTGTCGCGTAAATCAATGTCACACGCAGTAAAAATGCAGCTGGTGGCAGCACCATTGTCAGAAGAACGGCACATCCCCGATTTTCGTACATATAATGCAATCCCAGTTGCTTTGGAATGATACCATTGATCTGGATCCAATCATCCAGCGATATGGTGGTGGTCTACTTTGATGTCTTGAGGTGCTGATGGCACACTGGCGGGTGGCTAGTTCTGTCAGAATCTGGAGGGCGCAGGTTAGGGCCGCGTCAGAAGGCTTCGTCCAGGTCCTGCACGCCCAACCACAGCGCCGTCTATCTGGCACGTGCAAGTCGTGGCATCCTTTCAAAGTAGAGTAGCAAAGGCTTGTGGACAGATTTGAGATCAGCTTGATGTCGACCCAGCGCAGCTGAGGTTGGATGAACACTTCCGAATATGTAGCAGTCATAAATAGAGTTACCATCTTCTTTGTTTATTTAACATAAAGGATGACTGCTACACCTGGAATCACCCAGATACAGTATAATATTAGTTAAAATAACACGCAATGTACG